CCAAGTCAGCTTTACAATTATTTTATTTTTTTTTAGGAAAACAAACAGATTTTATTTAGAAGAACAAAGAGTAAGTTTAAAGTACTTCCAAAGAGAGTTGAAAGTGGGTCCCTCTCATGAAGGAGAAAAGGTGAGACTTACAATTATTTTATTTGTGTGTATTGTTATTGACTTACACATTGGAAAGAACCGTTTGGGAGCTAAACACCTTGTCTTCACGTTTTCTGTTCATTTTCCCAATACCTACTCCTCAATCTGTTGAATGAATAAATTAACTTCTCAAGCTCCAACGTGCTACTAATCCTAATTCTTTTTTTCATTTTGCCTTTTCTCTCTCTCTCTCTTTTTTTTTTTTTACCAGACTGACCCATTGCTAGACATACTAATCCTTTCTACAAATGAAGGGATCCACCCTAACCCCCAACCGCCCAAGAAACCGCCCACACAAACTCTGAAACGGCAGGGAAGAAATCCGTACTCCAGAGCAACCGGGAAAGAAACAAGCTACTCAAACCAGGTCCCTGGCAGCTCCGCCCAGGCGATGCCACGTGATCAGCGACCGCCGGCCCCTAAACCGAGTGCCCCACACTTCCCCGCGCATCCAGGGTCTTCTCAGGAATCAGTTCCCACCTCCTGGCCTCCTTGCTGAATCTCCACTCTGCCTTTACCCCTCGCCCCGTTATGGCTACAGCATTAGTTACCCGCTGCCCGCGTCCTCAGAGCCAGCACCGCCGACGCCATGTTTGACTTACGCTCCCTTCCGGCTTCGGAAAGGTTCTGCTTCCGCTACCGCAGATCTACTTCCGGGTCCTGCATGGCAGTTGAAAGAATGGCGCGAGAAATCGGAGGTGAGTGCACCCGGTCGCAGGCCGTCTAACTGGTCAAGGCTTCCCACTTGAGCACCGCTCTGCAGGGTCTTAATAGCCAGGGCGATTGCGGGTGTCTGTAGCCGACTGCCGACCTGAGAGGCGCGGAGCTTTCCTGGTAAAGGCCAGTTTGCCCGCTGCACTCATTTTGCCATTGTGAGCCGAGGCTCAGAGAGGGATCAGGGATGAGGCCCCCCTCCCTTGTCATCAGCTTACTTTACTCAGCCAGATAACTGAGCTACGGTAGATGCGCTATTTTATTCAGTTCTCACGACTTGATAAAATTGGCATTGTTATTATCCCTATTGTGTTAGAGAAGAAACTGAGGCCCAAGAAGGTTACTTTGCTAAGTGTTCATACATATAGTGCCACTGAATGTTAAGCAGTGAGTCTTAAATGTGACCCAACACTCCTAGGTATATATTATGCGTGCAAGAGAATTGAAAACGTGCTCACACAAAAATTTTTACGGGTATGTTCCTAGCAGCATTATCATAATAGCCCCCCCCATTGGGAACAAAGTGTCATGTGATGAATGGAGAAACAAAATGTGGCATATCTATACAATAAAATTTAAAAGCAACAAAGTACTGATGAATGCTACAACATAAATGAACCTTGAAAAGATTATGCTAAGTGAAAAAAGCAGGTCATGAAGGCCACATATTGTATGATTCTCTATATAGGAAATGTCCAGAATGGGCAAATCCATAGAGACAGAGTAGATGTGTGGTTGGTAGGGGAGAAATTGGCAGTGACCACTTAATTGTTACGAGATTTCTTTTTGGAGGTGATGAAAAATGTTTCAGAATTAGTAGTGACAGTTGCACAACATTATGAACTATACACTTTTAAAAAGATGAATGTTATGTTATACAAATTATATTTCTTTTATATATATATATTTCAGTTTTTATAAAGGATTTTTTTTTTTTGGCATTTCCATTTCAAATGCAGAGATCAATATTACTACCCCCATTAAAATTTTGTAATAGTGGGCTGAGAGTGGTGGTTCACACCCTAACCCTAGCATATGCTGGGATTCCTAGGCAGGTAGATTGCTTGAGCTCAGGTGTTTAAGACCAGACTGAGCAAGAGTGACACCCCTTCTCTACTAAAAATAGAAAAACTAGCCAACGGGTGGGGCCTGTGGCTCAGTGGGTAGGACCACGGCCCCATATACCAAGGGTGGAGGGTTCAAACCTGGCCTCAGCCAAAAAAATAGCCAAGTGTTGTGGCGGGAGCCTGTAGTCCCAGCTACTTGGGATGCTGAGGCAAGAGAATCGCCTAAGCCCAGGAGTTGGAGGTTGCTGTGAGCAGTGTGATGCCACAGCACTGGACTGGGGGTGGTAAAGTGAGACTCTGTCTCTACCAAAAAAAAAGAAAAAAGAAAAACTAACCAGGTATGGTGGTATAGGCTTGTAGTCCCAGCTACTTGGGAGGCTGAGGTAAGAAGATCACTTGAGCCCAAGAGTTTGAGGTTGCTGTGAGTTTTGGTGATACCACAGCACTCTACCTAGGGCAACAGAGTAAGAGTCTGTCTCAAAAGAAAAAAAAAAATTGGCTCAGAGCCTTTAGCTCAGTGAATAGGGCACTGGCCACATACACCAAGGCTGGCAGGTTCGAGCCTGGCCCAGGTCTGCTAAACATTAATAATGACAACTACAATAAAAAAAAAAAAATTGCCAGGCATTGTCGTGGGTGCCTATAGTCCCAGCTAATTGGGAGGCTGAGGCAAGAGAATTGCTTAAGCCTGAGAGTTTGAGGTTGCTGTGAGTTGTGACACCATAGCACTCTACTGAGGGCGACATAGTAACACTGTCTCAAAAAAGAAAAAAAAATTGTAATAGTATCTCTACTTTGTTTATACCTTACCTTGGCCTTGGAAGGATTAGGGAGGATTCCTGTTAGGAGGCAAATGTAGCTGTTCTGAGTTCCAGATTGAATGTGCTGGGGCCATGTCCTATTTCTCTGTTCTCTGTACCTCCTCTTTATCTTCCTGAAGGTTGGCTACAGAACACATCGTGTGGACTGAATTGAATGTTCCAGTCTGTGTCTCATCTCTCTTTTCCTTTCAGGGAATTAATTTAATACCACGTATTGATGGCACTAAAGAAGTCATCACTCTCACTGGAATCCAGTGAGAGTGACTCTGAGGAGTTGCCAGTATTTGCCTTTCTCAAGAGGGAACCATCTTCAACAAACAGAAGGCATCCTGAGAGGGAGGAGAAGATTGTGGTTGACACCTTACATTCTGAGGCCTCCTATCCTCCGTCACTAGTTTTGAAAGATCCACTGCCTATCCCGAATACAGCTGAAACTGTCACACAAACAGAGCCAGGCACAGTACTAAGCAGTGAAAGTAAGGATGAAGTGGTATATATTCCCCTGGCTGAGAGGCTTACATATAAGTTTTTGACCCACAAGCAGCTGAGCCCGGAAGACTCTAACTACCTACTTAAAAGTGTTTCGGATCATCAGAATAATGAAGGAGCATCAAGTGACTGGAAAAATCATTCCTTTCCAAAGGTCCCTGATATTCCCTTCCATGATACCCCAGAGAGGAGTACATCAGATAACAAGGACCCTATCTTAGATAAACCGTGCCATCAGTTTCCAGTCTACCAGTCTACCTGTCCTGTCCAGAGCAACAGCTTGATAGTAGCCAAAACAAATTCTGACACCCTCCAATCTCAGAAGAAAACCAAGCATAGTCAGAGGGTCCAGAGAAGAGGTTTGCAGAGATGCCGGCAGCAGGAACAAGCAAGCCAGAAGGAAAGCACCCTGAGACGAGAAAGAAAGGAGAAGGCATCACTGGTTAACAGATTGAAATCCCAAAGGCCAGAGGAATGCTTAAAACACATCATCGTGGTGCTGGATCCAGGTCCTCCTAGCATCTGTCTTCACCCTGGGCTCAGTTGTCTGCTTTCTGGACCACCCACTGATAGTCCCTTTCCCGTCTATTGCAGTGCTTTTACAGATGGAAGGTGGGGGCCAGCTCCTCGGAGCTTTACAGTCCATGGGGTGCTGCTGTGTGATTGAGACACAGGTTGTGCCTTGCAGTATCACTTGGAGAAGGACTGGGCCATCTGAGGTAGGGGATTTCTGGCTGACATATCTCATCTCCTAGAGTTACAGGATAAATAAGCTTTCTCAGGAAGGATATATAGCAGTCAGATGGCACAATCAGGATAATTTGAGGAAGATTAAATAAAGGGACTATTTTTCAAGGCGTGGGCAGGGTACAAGGAAACTACAAGAGACAGCACAGTACCTCAGGGTAATAACAGAATAATTCAGTGTTTCTCAACCTCGATACTATTGACATTTTAATTCTTGTGGGGGCTGTCCTCTGATTCACAGTGTGTTTAATATCATTCCTAGCCTCTACCTGCTCAATGCCAGTAACACTTCTTTCAGTCGAGACAAGGAAAATGTTTCCAGATATTGCCACATGCCCTTCGTGGGTAAAAATTGCCCTGGTTGAGAACCACTGACATAGCTGTTTACCATCCCTTTACTGAAGGGATGAAGGGAGGGAGTGGTCAGCAGAATCCAGGAGAGAGAAATGCAGAGAGCCACCTGGAGAGAAGCCTTGACCTCCAATAGAGGGGTGCAGTACACCCTAGGTGACCCCACTGGGAAGGAGCATAGGGGACAAAATACCCTGCCTTTGCTCTCCTCCTTCCTTCCGGTCTCCTGTGGTGTTTCCTACTGGTCACACCCAGGTGGGAGCCAGAGCAGATGGTGGACCTTGTGTTGTCTAAAGAGATCACCTCAAGCAGAGAGCAGTGGGGCAAGGGGAAGATAATCTGCATAGGATTCCTAGTTCTCTACTTGGGCTTTGAGCATGGGGAGGCTTGCATTTGAATCTCAGCTCCATGGCACCATAGATGTGATCCTGGGCAAGTTCTTACAAATCTTTGTGCTTTAATTGCCTCATGTATAAAATCCCTATTGTGGAGACTAAATGAGATAATCCAGCACCAGCACATAGCAGGCACACAGTAAGTGTTCTTCCCTTCCCTAGCCTCCCAGGTTATACATTTCCAGTACCTATCACTTCTCTTGTCTGTGAATCCAAAATACTCTACCCATAATGTTCAAGAGTTTATAGATGATATGTTAAGATTTTTTTTCTCTCCTTTTCACATCTTATAACTTTCTTAGTAATTTAGGACATTTCACCACACTTTTGGGGGCGTGTGAGCAAACTTTTATAATCATATAGCAGTTTATCCTTTCAAGGCACTGCTGCACTCTCTCTGTTTCAGCC